ACAGACATCATGAGCTTCTACTCTTGCATTTTCATATTTATAAACACACATAGTACCCGTGACCAGCCATCACTGACTCTGAAAAACACTCATAGCTGATTGACTTGAATACACTTCCTTCCCAAGGAAGACTTCTGTTATGTAGGCTCGACACAAGGTCAAACCCTAGGGATTTTTTTAAAGGCAACAGCAAAATTCCCTGAGATTTCAACAAAGCCAGGATTTCTCCCGAGAAACTTGTAACAAGACATTAGAAAATGAGATACAAACTGAACTTGTAAAGAAAAGTCACACTGGAATTTACTCATATTGGCACACAAAAATTAACTTGTTTGACTCTGTTCAAAGCCTGAAAGGAATTAAAACCTTGTAATATGTGTCCATGTAGCAGGATGTACCACATGACTCAATATACCCATCAGAAACCAAGGTCTACATGCTCTGGAAGAGGCACTGCTACATCAGGTTAAAGGCAGATGTGTGACATGGGCTGCAGCTGCGCATACTTCATGGGCAATCCGGAGACTATTCCAGACCCCAGGATTTCCACCTGGAATCTTTATCAAGCCTGACTGACATTCTAAAACTGCAGAGTAGTTTTAGAAATACGAAATGACCGTGTTCACTGTCAATAAGGGATTGATTCTGTATTTGATCCTTGGTAAAAAGGGTTAAATTCTGGAGCTGTTGAGTAAAATATTAGAACAAATTAATTATCTTCACATGTTAAAAAAAGAATGTGGACTGGCAACATGTGACACCTCAAAGCCATTGATACCACAAACTCTTACTCCATCATCATAAAGAGAAGTTACTTGGCAATAACTAGGGAACTTCGGAATGTGTTGTCCATATACAGACACAAATACACTTGCCACAAGCAGGTCTGTTCAGAAGTTGTTTTTCATTATCAACACCCTTGAAAATTGGACAGCTCCACTCATGAGACAGTGGTGGACAAGAATTCTAATGATCTTTTGTGCATGGAAATAAACTTCTGGAAATACAGATCCTTGCTGTTGAAAGGACAGGATCTGTCTCATGTCTCTAATGTGTCACATCTACAAGTAAGGTTTGGGGAGGAAAAAAGTTATGTAGATCTAGTGGTATTACTATGAACATCAAGTTTATACCCAAGGAAATTCACACCATCATCATACACATGTGAAGAATAGTCTATGAAGAGAAGATCTGTTTTCAGCCTAACTTTTGCCATTGCACTGGCAGAAAGCACAGCAGGCAGGTTTAAATGGGGGAAGAAGGTGCTTATCAGGCTATGGGGAGTACCAGGAGCTCACATCTGAACACCTGAAGGGGTAACTTAGATGCCTGAGGAAATGCAGCAATGCTGGTGCTAGGCTAAGAAAAAAAGAATGAACAGAAACAATAACTATATGTACATTAGAGTAAAAAGAACTGGTACATCATTCACCTCTATGAAAGACCAGTCTTGCAAAGGGAGATAGGTACCTCAGATAAGATGAATTAGAAACCTCTGCACACTGAGCATAGGTGCGTCCACCTGGCTGGGTTGTCCAGCTCTCAGCAATAACATCTCTGACAAGTGAACTGACCTCTAACACTGAAAGACATCCAGCAACCAAGTATGTAGCTGGAGCATCTGTCTTGCCTCCATCCAGGGTACCCAAGAGGAGAAGATCTTAACTAAGGAAAATGCAAGGACAAGGCTCAGACTGGTCGCATGGATAAGACAAAAAATTGGAAAAAAGCTATCTTGCTGAAAAAGCCAAGAAACAAGGAGGGAACAAGTTTCTAAGAGCAACTGCTTAAGGCAGACAGACTGGGTGAAACAGAAAACTTCCCTCCAGACCAGGCCGTTGGGTGGAAGTTGAAGTGGTAGATGCAGAACACCTCTCCACCTTACACAGCCCTTGGGTACAACAGGGAGAAAACCTGGTAGACATGTCCTAGACAGGTACTGGCAATACACAAAAGATCTGACTCTGAATGGCTTGAGCAAGCACTCAGCAGAGATCTATGAGATGATGCACATTCCTTTACTTTAAATCTACCCCTATTTATATTTTGAAACCTCCTGTGTATTTTACTGATTCTTTATGATTACTTTTGCACAAGTATTAGAATAAGGACTATTAAAATGTCGTTTAAATGCAAGTAAGTCTATCCATCACCACGGTCACTGAGAGCATCACTCTCAAGTATTCTGTGTTCTGCAATCACCAGAACACAATCGTATGTAAGAGACCTGTTCACAGACTTCAGACACCCTTAACTGATTCTATTTCTTTTTCCTTGTGGAGACCCAAGGCAAGGATGTGCAGCTATACCAACAGGAAAAGTGATCTTGTTCACACAGTTTATTCCATTCAGAGCTATTTCACCAACCCAAGAGAAGAAACACCCTACTGACCTCAGTTCCCTCTTTGCTAGAGAAGTTTGCCATTACAGCTATAACTAGTAAGTCTCAGGTAAGACACTGGCTATAAAGATGCTCCATGTAACAAGAGTTTACATTTGAAGCAAAAGCAGATCTTTCCTAAGCTGCAAACCTATTTGAGTAAACCAGATGTGTCTGCTCCCTTTCAAATACCATTTACATTTGACCATTGAGAAAGACAGTGGAAGAAACTGCTGTTCTTCAACAAACATTACAATACCCAGATTAACAATTCTTTAAAATACAACAGTGCATTTTTAAAACTATATTGTCATATGTCTAAGCTGGTCCCTAGAGGGCCACATCAACATTTCTACAGGACAATTGCTTAGTGATTTCTCAATAATACTAGTGATAGTAGCTGCACTATATTTAAGAGTGAGCAGAAAATAATTTAAGGAAATCCAAGGAAGTTTGGAAGTTCAGTCAGTACATACTTAAATATCTCTCTGGTTATGGAAGAGTGGTACAGCACCAGCTTACTGCTAACAGAATTTACTGGCTCACACTGCACCATATGAAAGCAGCCCAGGTGAAACCTGTGTAACAGTATTTGCACAACTCTCTGCTTGAGCTAACAAGCCATGCTGGTTTTGAGCAGGCTCTGGACTTAAAGCAAGACTTTCCCTGAAGTTTCCAAATGTGTATGTTTTAATATCAGAAGAGAGTGGCAAATCCCAGTGCAAAACTGATACACAAGTCAGCTCATTTGAAATAATCAGAGAATTTAAAACGTATGAAATTCAACATATTCTTCATTCACCAACAGGAGGATTTTGTTAAGCAAGCACCACTAGATTCGCTTCACAGCAAACAGACTACTTCTTAGACAAAAGTTTAACAACCAAGTATGGATGACCTGGTGCACACCAGCTCATCTGACTGCTACTGCCTGACCTTTGCCAATATACTCTCAAAGGATAGTTCTGTTCACACAGAGACACGTTGATTTGGATGGAAATACTTTTACTCCACAACTTTGCAATCTGAGAAGAAGCCTAATGACAAATCAGCAAATAATGAGAAAAACTTAACCATCATATCAAAGGTTTCCAATCACAACTTGGCTCAGCACTGCTTTTGTTGAAAATGAGTGGTGTATGTAAACTCCTCACACTGAGCACTTTCAGCCACATAACTCTATATGGTAACACACCTGGTGTGACAAGCTAGTATCTCTATAGTTTTTGAAAATTCAGAAAGTTTTAATACTCAGCCAGAATCTTAATTTTAGAGCCCATCTGGATTTAGTCTACACTATTTATTCAAAACTGAGATTTCATAAACAACAACAAGACTTTCAAAAAATCATTTTAATGATTTAAATAGGCGTAATCAAAAGAACATTAAGTTCAATCTAACTGCAGAAGTTTTTGATATCACAGCCACACTGGCCGGAAGCATTAAAAAAAATACAAGAAAATAAAAAAAATCAACGTGTTACCAGAAATGCAGGCACAGATGTAATGTAGCTAAAACCTCAAGAATTCTACCCAGGTACCACAATAAGCCACCCAAGTTAAATATTTTAACTTTTCAATCCAAGTAGTACCTTCATCACAGTATTTGTGAATTCTTCTGTAACAACACAACTATGTTGATCAAATCTTAAGTACAAACTGGTCCTACACACTACCTATAGACTAGTAAGAGTGAAACTCAACCAGACTTCTGGATGTGTGTCTTTACACTGAGAAAACTACAAATGATGGCTAGAGGAAAAACAGCAAGTGAAGGGACAAGGCTGTTATGTCAAAGGAGCATCAAGATATATATTCCCAAACCCACTGGTGGCATGGGTTGATATAAAACTTGGTTTAATCACAGTGCCTCAGGATGAAAAGCTGAGGGAGTAATAATGGTGGCAGAGAGGGCAAAAATAAAAAAGGGGTGGGGGGTGGGGGGTCACCAGAAGCCTTTACTGTGTTTATGTGCAAAAAAGGCAGGGAAAATTGAATGTCAGGTAGGTGTGCATTCTAGTGTTCAGTTCTCAGCCTGCTGCTGATAATTTCCAACTTAACCTATGTTTTCATGTGTATCTTGTTTCTCAGATTGGATGAGAGCTAGATTGCTGGGAGCCAGGACATGCATATTTACCAAAGGATAGATCACTTGCTAATGCTAGAATCTTTTTCCCATCCTTTCTATGCTTATTTTTACTTAACTGATTGTTTCACTGTAAGTTAAAGATGACTACAAGCAGACACTTTTTCTTGTTTTATAAAACTTGAGCAAGTTCTAAAGTGGAGCATAGTATGCCTGCATCGATTCCCAGTCTCTGTCAGTTATCAAACAGCATCTTTACTGGAAGGGGAACATTTATCAAATTTGGCATTTTTAGCTCACCTGATCACTCTTACTATCACCCCCTGGCTGGTTGGTAACGTGATGGTTGGTTTTATGTTAAATAGAAAAATATTTGAAGTACTTAGTACGATACTGAAGTTATTTAAAGAAAGAGTATTTAAAGTACCACTAAATTCAGCTGATGCCTGGAATTCCAAATTCCAAACACAAAGAAGAATAACAATGCACCTTTGAAATAAAGTAACAAAATTAATAAAACATAAAAATTGCTTACACTGCTGACTTGGATCACAATCCGTGGTCATCTTCACATAGTTTGAGGGGAACAGACCTGTCACACCGTTGATTTCTCCTTGCCACCAGTCAGCATCATCTTTGTTCAGTACATTGATAAGCTGCCCTTTGGAGAAACTGAGCTCGTCTTCATTGTTGGCCATGTAATCGTACATTGCTATCACTTGACACACTAGGAAGAACAAAAACCAAAATATTAGAAAAGTTACACAGCTATTAAGAACGTGTTTTTTTCTGTGTTTTACATAACCATGGGAAAGAAACAATTTCACATACACTGTTACACAATGAAAAAGTGCCACATGATCTGATCTTGACGTAGAACTATCTTCCCTTTTCTTTTTTCTTTCAATTGGGCCAGGCAGTAATCTTTAGTTCTACTTTATGTATCTGCGCACTTACATAGCGAATGGATTCAGTTAGTAGAGTGTACACCTGAATCCACTTCTAAACACTCTAAGATATAATCAAGCATGCTTCTATCTCTTCTACGGTCTTAGAAAAGAAAGTGAGTTTGATTACCTTACAGCTGATACTTGTGAGAAAAACATGGCAAAGGAAAAGGAAATGTGCATTAGCTAACTGTGAGCTGCTAGTTTAGTTGAAGGGAAGTTTGGTCCAGTAATACCCAGGAAGCTGTTGTATAAGCAATTCACAGCTGTGGAGAACAGCGCAATTTAAGCTTGCAGAACCAAAAGCGCTCATTTTCTGTTAAATCATCTCATTTGTACCTGGCCATTCAAATGGGAAAATCTAGTGAAAATTTGCTGCTTAGTCTCCTTCCCTAGAAGGAGCAGTACATGTAATTCCAAGGTGTTTGACAAAGATTGTTAGTTTTCTGTAAGATTTTTGAATAAGGAGTTTCCAAATGAGAAGAGTATGGCTCTTCAGTGCACTCTGCAAAAGTAAGAAGCTCTTGCCATAGAAGACGGACTGCTCATCCTCATAGATTTCTGGATATAAATACCTTCGTATGACAAGAGTTTCTGTTGTAAGGTATGTAGCCAATAGTATATGCTAGGGAGGGACCTTATGAAGAATTGTTTTGATTAAGAAGTTGTGAGATTTTACCTTTCTTGGGCAGAAATAAGAGCTGAATGGTCAAGCCTGTCAAAAGACCCAGGTTCTAACTAGGACTTCACCTTCCACAGTGACACTATAATCAGATATAGCCATGTACTGGGTTTGGATGGGAAGGTTTTGGTAGCAGAGGGGCTACAGGAGAGGCTTCTTTGAGAAGCTGCTAGAAGCTTCCCCCATGTCTGACAGTCAGTGCCAGCCAGCTGCAGAATGGACCCACTGCTCGCCAAGACTGAGCTCATCAGCAACAGTGCTTGAACCATGACAGCTGTATCTTCTCTCTCCTGTTCAGCTGAGGAGGGCTGTGACAGAGTGGCTTTGGTGGGTATCTGGTGTCCAGACAGGGTCAACCCACCATATGCCATTAAATACAGTATTACGCTAGTTATGTAATTCAGACTAGTAGCTGAACAACTGAAGCAGTTTCATAAAAATACTCCAAATTAAATATAAAGCTTTTTCTGGTTGTTTTTGTTTTGTTTTTTTTACCTGAGGGAGCAGCAGATGTGGTTCTTTCACTGCTTGGACCCAGTAATTTCACGTGGCTGGCAGGGAACCATCCTTTCTGTCTCTTTTTCCCTCTTGCCTATAAATGTTTAAAATGGTTAGAACACAACTGAGAAATTAAATAGACTATAGATTGGAAAAAATGCAACAAATATGTCACACAGTTATGCCAACAAAAACCAGAAAGTCAGGATTCCAAAATAAAGCTGCACCCTAATATGTTCTGGCAACTGTGTTCATCCCAAATTTTCCAGTCCAGCTAATGATTTCAGTGCACAATTTAATTGTGTGGCTCAAAATTTGCTCTACAAACATTCCACTTACGTATCATACCAGGAATGTCTAATGAGATATCCAGAACAGAGGTAACAATTATCGTAAGCTACTTTTGAAAATCCTGACCTAAGTACCTGATATCACTTCCTACATACAACAGCATGAGAGACTTGGGAAAGATTTGTATTTTTCAGTGTTTTCTTTTTTAGTCCTATAGGTAAAAATGATGTCTGCACGCACGGAAGAAATAAATGTACTTCAGAGCACACACACAAAACTCTGGATGTAAAAGTGAGCACAGATTTTAGAAACACCTAACTGCAAATTGAGGTCTACTACAAGGAAAAAAAGAAACTCAAACTATCAAGAACTGACAATCAGGGATCACAGTTTCCCTTTTCCCACATTGTTTTTTAATTGTCTTCTATTCTTTGAGGCTTCTTCCTGAATAAGCACTGGGCTTACTCTTCTTCAAATACAAACTATTCATACTTTTGCACATGCTTTGAGTAAGCTTTCCACTGCTGTTAATCCACAGAAACTCAGTGCAGCAATTTCTTGACTTGCTCTCCTCCTATACCTGTAAAGCAGGCTGGTTTTAAAAACAGTTGTATCAGTCAACTATCATCAACTATGATACCAAATAGTTGTATCAGTCCCGATCTAACTGTTAGAGAGGGAAGATAGGCGTTAACAAGAGTATTCACTCAAAACACGAGTGTGTGAGACTGTAGAATATCTTGGCAAAGGCCAACAAACTGATATTAAAAGGACTGATATTATCGTGCTGAATGTTCAAAATCCCAGTATTGGAAATAGCAATCATTACTGGAAGTAACATGTTTAAATTCAGGGTAATGTTGCAGGTTCAGCTAAAGCATAACAAAAAGACATTATAAGATCATGATTTAACTTTTTGCATTGGTTGCAAAGATGAAGGCTATTACGGACAAGATTCATAGGGCTCCAAAAGTCAAAATATGAACTATGATTTAAGAAGAATGTCATGTAACAGTACTCTCAACACTTGGGACTAGAAATTCATCACTAGGTGGGGAAAGGAGGAAAGTGGGATCATCAACTTTCACTAACTTCCAACTCCAACTTTCAAGAATTCCAGTTCTTTCAATAGAATAATTTTACAATATAACGTTTTAACCAGTTAAATCCTAACCAATTTATTAACAGTCAACAACCCTCTTCCCCCTCTCACGCACACATTCATTGACAGCTTTACTATTTTCTGTGACCAAAAAGCCCGCCCCAAACCAACAAGAATCCCCAGCAACCCAACTTTTAAATAAAAACTTTTTTTTCCCCTAAATACGGTTTATACGAAATGAAAATAGATTTCTAGCCAGCTTTTAGAACGCTACACTTGGGTGTTTTCTCAAATTAAACCCAAGATCACCTCCTTGCCATTCATGAAGTCACAATTATTTCTCCTTCAATAACTACCTGCAACTCTCCTTGCCACCATCCACTAGCGTTTTTCTTCAGAATAAGTATCAGCTGTCCTGGGGCAAGACTAAGCTGTTCAGTTCCAGAGGCAGCATAGGCAGTAGTAACCTGAGCAATTTCTGAAGAGATAATATACGAATTGCACTTGTTAATAAGAACATATATTAACTGCATTTTCATTACAGTAAGAGCTAGATCCACAGAAATACCCAGGTACATATCTTGCAGCTAAGAACATAAACCCACTATTAAAACACTGCTATGAACCTAAATGCTCACAGTCACTTACGAAACAATCCTAAATGTTAAAAAGTTACCACACACTTACCGGGTTTCTTATTTATTGTTCCAGTTTTGCCAGCATTACTAGAAGCCTACAAAGACACAACAATCAACTTTTAATGTGCAATAAATACAGCAGAGTTTACACCAACTTTAAGCATGTGGACAGAAAAACACGTGAAGATTTTAATTTTGAGCCTGTATTTAACATAACTGTCAAACTCACTTCTTGATCCTTTGGTCTGACATAATTGGAGGGGAAGATTCCAGTTCTGCTGTCAATGCTCCCAGTCCACCATTCCCCTTCCTTCTGGGTCACTAGGATTTCCTCACCTTCCGTGAATGTCAAGTCACCAGGCTCAGAGCTTGAATATGAATAGAGCGCAACATACTCTGTGCAAACAGCACATACAAAGAAGGAGACAACAGTTTTAGATAGGAGGGTTAAAGTAAATTAGATGCAAGTAAAAGTATCTTTGATGCCAGTGTTCATCAGTGTGTTCCTAACACGGATCATGTCTTCACAAGTCTGTGAATCAACCTAGCTACTTGCTTGATTGTAATCACATTTCACCTCATGCCTACAACTTTGAATTACAGGTACACAACTTGTGTTAATTTGGCACAGTAAGAGTTACTACCCTGTCGTCATCCCCGCAGATCAGCAGAGGCCTGTACACCACAGCTTGAAAACTCATCTCTTGCATTAAACATTCCACCCTCCCTCTGTGTTCCACAGCAATCATGCATATTCCACACCTAAACCTGATTAAAACCATTCTTATCTAACACAGCAAAAATGAAAACACAAGCGAAATTAAAATATAATTGGGGAAGCATGGAGAGACACCAGATTAAAAGGCTTAGAAAGTGCTTCCCACAAGTTTTTCTCTAGTAATGTTTATCTACTCCCTACGGATTAAAAGCGGCCAATCCACGCTCAGGAGACTAAAACTCCCTTCTCATGTCTCAACAGTTTAGCATAAAACAGTGGAGAACAGCAGGAAAAGAACTCATGGGTATGAGACATATTTCAGTTTTCAGAAACAAATTAATGCTTGAGCAGTCATAAAAACAAAAGAAAAACCCAGGCCTATGCTCAACCTGAATTAGTTATAAGCTTTACTTAAGCTCCTGTTTTATAAATCTCATATCAGTAAATCAACATTTGCACTGTGTCTTTTGCACAAGCATTAAGGCCTGCTCAGAAACCCATCACCTATTTAAGCTTATTCACATGCCATGAAGTAGAAACAGACTGTATCATTAAGTAGCATATTTCATGCTGTCTTACCCTCTCCTGCTGTGTAAGACTGTGTATTAGGCTTTTTGTTTACAGCTGCATAAATAGCTTCTGGTCTGCAGAAAGAAACAAAGGTTTGTGTAACTGGAAGGCTGATCAAGCACAGATCTCTTTATTAAGATAAGACTTCGATCATCTCAATGTTGGTATTGCCTCTGAATTAACTGCAAAGACACCCCTGACAAACAGTGACAGGTATTACTGATATTTAAGATAAATGTCATCCAAGGCACACCACTTAAAAAAAAAATATGTGACGACAGTGATGAAAGATGAGAAGATATATTTGCAAATTATGCTAATTCAAAAGAAGAACAAATTCAAGATTTTGTCTAAATTCTCTCATTCTAGAGAATTTTTAAGAACTTTCACTATAACATATGAAAAGAACAACTCACACACAATGGTGCAGCTATCCCAGCAGTTACCTGACTTTGAATTATTACCTGAACAGTTACCCTACAGCATCGGAATAGATGTAAACATCTTTTCAAGTAAAGAAAAATACACTACTTCTGCAAGATGCACCTTACAAACTTACAACTATTTGTAGGTCACTTAAAAATTGACACCTTCAGAGGCAGAATGCAGCTACACTGCGAGAGAGCTGATTCGGTATTGAACCAAAACAAAGTCTGGCACTCGACGAATAATCAAACACCACTGATTTCTCACAGCACTCAGCCTTGAAGACTGTCTATTTACACAGTAGTGAGCCCGGCATTACTTGGCTTGCCAGAATGAAGTAACAGAAGCTTGAAGTGGCATGGTTTAAATTGTAAATGGTATTTATATTGTGCACTTTGAAGCAGTGCAAGAATTTTGCAGTCTAAACCACCTCTTTTTGTAAACTGTTGAATAAAACAAAAAATAAAAGTTGCACTTACTCCTCTTTCTTGACTTCGCTCCCAGGTAAAAGCTTGACATATGATTTTGGAAACCAACCCCTTCCTCCATGTACCTCTCCAAACCACCAGTTTTCCTGCTGCTCCAGGACAGTAATGATATCATTTTTTGAAAAATTCAAGTGGTTATCTTTTTTTGCAGTCCAAGAGCAAAGTGCTTGTGCTTTTAGGTTCTCAACAGGCTGCCCCTGTTAAGACACAAGTTGAGATGTTGACCGACCACACTACCCCAAACTGGTGCAAGTGTTAAAAAACAAACATTGATGTACCCTTTACTGAAGTTTAAGCAAGTGATGGCTTGATATATACAAGCTGCTAACTGAGGAACAATCAATTCTGTTTCTTATTTGTTAGAAATATCTTCTGTGTCTAATTACAGGTGAAAATTATTTTAGAATTATGAAACATACTGTATGAGTCTTTTTGCTCAGTGGTGCCTGGAAACATATAGAATTATGTCAAAGCGCACTAGTGGAGCATTCAGACCAGCTTCTTTATCCTTTAGCCTGTTCAGTGCACCTTGTATAAGAAAAGTTGTGTTTTGGACTGTTTTTTCTTTAAATCACTTTCATTAACATGAATCTAAAATACAGCAAGTTCTCCACTTCCACACAATATACCTGCCCATGAATGGGTGAAACAGATCCAGGGGACACAGTGCGAGTGAAAGCTGATTTCTGTTGCCATGCTGTATTAACATTCAGGCTAGAAAAAGGGATGTTTTGGTAATCAGATTCTTCTGCAGATTTACTTGGTGAAAGTGGTCTGAAAATTGAATACAGGCATATTGAACATATTACAATTTTTATTTTAAAATTACCCCAAGCAGAATAACATTTTTTTAACATACATAAAACATATTCTAAACATTGTGAAGCAGACTATCAAATACTTAAAACTAAAAAAAAAAGCTAAGACTTTCGGGTAGGTTCTTCAGTAAGTTTTCTGCATTTATATTGAAACCAAAACCAAACAATACCCACGAAAAAACAAAACAACTGTAAAAAAACCCCATATCACCAAATGAAACTATACACCACATTATGTCTTAGCTAAATTTAGAAAAAGCAACTTGAACACAAACATTAACAAAAACTCACTCTGAAGCAGCTGAGGTAGTAGATAAAGATACTATGGGAGGAAGTAAGGCCTTCTTAGGAGATAAAGATTTTTCTCCTTCTGGTATTTTTTCTACATAATTGCATGGAAACCAACCAAAATGTCCTTGAAAACTCCCATAAAGCCAACCAGGCTCTCCCACATTTTTTTCATCAACCTATGTACAGGAGGATAAATACAAAGAAAACACAATTAACAGCATGAAACAAAAAGGGTATCTTTTAATCAGAGGGTCAGCACCTACTAGCACTCTGAACTGAACAGCATGAGAAGCACTCATACTGGATCAGCATTTTCATTCTCTTCCCTTCCAGAATGGAGCTGATTTTGCCCTGTTCAAGGAACAGGGTGATGACACAATTGCAATGATTTAGAGACAGGTAGAGACAGGCCTCAAAGACATCATATTCCTTCAAACAGGTCCCAAACCTGCACACCGGGGATCATGTACCACACCTGGAGCCACTCTGGCTTGCCAGAAATGATGGTGGTTTGTGTTCTGTTTTGTCAAATTCAAAGCCAAGAGGCAGCGGCTGGCGAGCCCAGCAGCGCATGAAAACAACTGCTGCAGTTCTGCTTACAGATGTAATTAACTGCCATTTGACTGCACCCAGAACACATCCAAGAATTCTGTTATTTACTATATGATTAAGCACAGAGCATCCTAAAACATTCATAGCAATATTGAAGTCTCCACTATGCTACAAATTAGCAAATTAGTCAAAATTAGCTAAAAATTACCAGCTCATCAAATACTATCACCTAGTTAGCTTAGTTGAGGACTGGGGATAGGAGGAGGAGGCAGCAGCTGTTAGCCTATTTCTAAAATAAGTTACCACTAGTTAAATGACACAGTAATATCTGAGAAGGCAGCCAAAACAAAACCTTCTTCTTTTGTTCCCCTTCATGCTTCACTGGTATAGAGAAAAAAAAAAAAAAGGCAAATAAATGATTTAACACTGTTAAACGGAAGGCTAATACTTGAGAGTTTTAATAGTTTGTACAACACTGCTTTGTAAATTCTCCTGCATCACCTACATATATTGCTTATAGTCCGAATGAGGAGGAACCATACGTACTTAGATACACATATGTGAATTGTACTACCATGGTTGTAAATCAGTTTTCACAAGTCCACCTGAAGGCACATGCTTTCAAAACTGCGTATGCTGACAAGTGATGTAATTACACAGGTTCATAGCATCACAGAATAGTTTGGGTTGGAAGGGACCTTCAAAGGTCATCTAGTCCAACCCCGCTGTAATGAGCAAGGACATCACCAACTAGACCAGGTTGCCCAAAATCACATCCAGCCTGGCCTTGAGTAGTCTCCAGGGATGGCACATCTACCACCTGTTTAGGCAACCTGTTCCTGTATTTTACCACCTTCATCGTAAAAAATAACACATTTCAACTAACTTCTGTTAGAAGACATTCCCAATCTTATGGTCCTGCAGTAATATTACAGATAGCATATTCAGCTGAATCCAGAAAAGTGCTACAAAGATGGACACAAAATAAACTACTGTATGTGTCTGCCTGAGGGACCAGCCAACAAGAAGCAGAAGTCAATGTTAACAATACATTAGAAAACAGTATTAAGATTCAGAAGAACTTTTCACATCTACTTCTTAAATAACTACTTTTACTTTAATTCAAATGCCATTAATTACTAATTCATGCCTCTATTTACTATGTTCATATTTCAAGCAGACACTTAAAGGCCAACCTGTACGTATACAATAAACTGCAACAACATATGATTCCTGATCTACTAATTCTGGAAAGCTTACGTTTACCATTCACTATTGTTATTTTAAGCTGAATCTCAACACATCTAGGATACGTAAAATCCAAAGAAAAGATTTTGGGTGAACTAATCCTAATTTTATTTGTTTAAAAAAAAAAAAAAGCAATCCAATTTAAATTTTGAGTAAGCTTTAAAATGTATCAATGAATGCTTTTGACACGTGAGACCTTGTGTATCTCAGGGCCGAGGAAGGGGGTGGGATTTCTGCAAGGTAAATGTGAATGGCAAATCTTACCTGAATTATATCCCCAGTATTAAAGCTCATCTCATCATGATTCCTTGCTTCAAATGGATATAAAGCTCTGTAATTTACCAAGGCAACTGAATTCCTAGACTCTGAGACACTAAATGCAGTGCCTGAAAGAGTAAGAAAATTAGTTACCATTTTAACTCAGCTAAAAGACATGCACTTAGTTGAAGCCCCATCATTCTAAACAACAGGTATGAACATAAGAGAACAGTTCTTGCCCCCAGGCAAGTATCAAAGGAGGTCACCAGCTACAGCAGGTCAATGGGATACATGAAGTGTAAGACTTTAACCTGCAAACCACAGTAAAAGGCACTAAAATACACTATTTTCTGAAGCAAAAAAATGACACCTTTATCTTCTCATCTTTCCTTGCCAAAGTGCTCTGGCTAAGCCACTGCTCTAATGTAGTCACATTTAACACAACTATAATTATCCAAGTTGAAAAGATACCACCATTGCAACAGTAAAGGTTCAGTAGCATGTGTGAAGGTTTTACTTAAGAAACCTAAACCAGCAAAATATCAGTTCTATTTTCTTTGCACCTCTGTTCTCCAAGCCTGTGATTGACATTGCTGATGTTTTATGAGGTATAGCTGAAGTGTGCAAGTATCTTTCAGCACTGTTGTAATTTGGTTCTTGCTGAACTCGGTGACAAAAGTGGCTAATAAAACCTGACAAGAACTAATGAAAGACGGAACTAGTCAAAAATGCCTTTAGCAAAAATATTGTTAAACCACTATTTTTCAAAGTCCCACAACTCCAGTTAGGTCCTACTGCTGTTTCCAGCATCTGTGATTTATTGACCAGGATCACTGGAAGATTTGTAATCAGTCACAGGTTACTTCTACGAGTTTTCAGTAGGTAAGTTAACAGGATGATTTAAAACTAACCAAAGACATGAAACATTGTTTCTTTTTTTCATTTTTTTAATACTCTTTTAGACAATAAGCCTGCCATAGTGTCACATTAATAATACTACTACATTTAAGCATGACAAAATGCTTAGGAAAATGAGAACGATTAAAGCAAAAATCTAACAGACTAAGATTACCTTCATTTTTCCAGGGTGGTTTAAGACTTTTACCCTCTGTTGGTTTCAAGAGATCTGCAAACTTCTCAGTTATGTTTAATTTAGAAGTGTGTTTCTCCATCTCTTGAGAGTTGGTCACTTCTTTTATCTTCTTTATTTCTTCGTTCTGCTTACGCCTCTCCTCAGCTTCTCTTGCAATTTGTTCCTGCTTTCTTTTATCTTCTTCCAGTTGCCTCTGCCTTTTCTGTTCTGTCTCCCTCAAAATCGTGGCTTGCCTATTTTTCTCTTCCTCTGCATAAAACTGTTGTTTAAAAACCTCATCAGAGCAATTGCTTCTTCAGCTTTCAGCTTTTCTTGAACTTTTTCCTGCATTCGTTCTTCCTCCAATCGCTTCTTTTTCTCTTCCTCTTCCCTTCGGATGTTTTCCTGCCATTGGTTCTCCTTCTCCCATTTTGCTTTCCTGAAAGAAAGGAATGAGAGAAATGTAGGAGAATGGTCAGATAAAAATGAATGAGATTGTGTTCATAGAGTAATAGACTGCATTTGTCAGTAAAACTGAGTCTATGACATTGACTACTCTCCTCTCTGGGCGATAAGCTCT